ATGGACACTTTGCTTATGTCCCATCTAGGTTGATGCGGTAAAACAAAATGCGAACAAAAATTTCTTGTTACCGCATCTTGTGTAAAAAAACTTCACAACTTAACTAGACATCATTTTTAAAGCATAAATCGTTCCTTGTTTCTGAAAATAAATCCGATTCCTTAAACTTGGCCTCACTTGAATCTGAACAATTTCGGACAAAATGTTTCCGGTTCTGAAAGAACACTTTTTTTTACTTATTTTTGGATTCTTCCACAGAAAAATGCATATCTAAAAAGTTTGGTTTGATCTTACTTAATAGCATAGAAAATTCCTTCGATATGGGACTTCTCCCAATTTTGCCCAAATTGATGCATATTACCCGAATAAACTTAACTGTAAAGGCGACTTTTCTAAATAAAAGGCTGTCGCAAGATTAAATCTCCTCAGATGATCAAATTAACATGACCACATGTACGCTAAACTATCAAGTTAAATCTCGTCATGACTCTTGCATGCAGCACTAGTCATACTCTATACAGTAAATTACGTCACTCATACAATCCAACCAAAATTCTAAAACGTCGATTCGAACATGACAATTAAATATGGTTACAGTGATACTTATCGTACATTTCAATCTCAAGATTTTTAATTCACGTTAGGATATCTGCCTTTGGAAAAGCTTCATCTTGACCGCCAGCAAAAAGGTCATTCTGTAAAAATTGATTGCTTAGGCTGTATGCATTTTTCTCTTATTTTTACTTATCTTATAAATTAATTTTTTTTAGAAACATGACTAAATTATTTGAATTTATAAGGGTACTGAATGTACGTTTACTTGAAATTTTATGATTGAAGAAAGAGTATCTTTCCGTTTTAGAAAAAAAACTTGAGGTTTCTTTCGACCGTGATATGTGCATTCATAAAGCTTTGGTCCACATCCATTCGATAGTTTATGAGAACTATGCAATTTCTTCCTTACAGCATAGGGAAATATTTCCCTTTCCTTGCAGGAAATATATGCAGCAAATAGTTTGGAGACCTTGTGTAGCCGCCGGTAGTGCCCAACATTATTCGGCAATTGATAAACATTTTGAAAACGGAAAGATAACCTTTCTTCATGCATAACATTTGAATAAGGCGTAATTTGCAACAAAACGAGTTCAACAAGGAATATTTGTGTTTATGTTTTCTAAAAAAATATTTGCATTTTTGAAAACAGTGGAAATTAATGACATTCGCGACCTATGCGATCAAAAACGTTAAGCCTCAGGTAAACATTTTATTCGCTGGTCAGTTCTGATAGTAGGCACGTATCATAGAGAGTCAAACGAAGTTCTCATTCAGAGTTGTAATATTGATAATCTTACAGTCGAATCTCAAGATGTGTTTGTCACGCCAAGCTGCTAGCTGTTAAAGAAGTATCCTTCTGACCGCCTGCGAAAATTCGACTCATTAAAAAGTGGCCAATTAAGTTGTGTGCATTTTTCTTTTAGATTTTCACTGCTTTACTAAAGCAAAAAATAGTTTATATAAAGCATGCTCAAAAATATTACTTATATATTCGTTTGGCGGAGAAATGCGCCTTTCTCAAATTGTATACTTGAAGAAAGAGTATGTTTTCGTTTTAAAAATGCTTCTCAATTTCCGGATAATTTTCAACTCCATTAGCCACTAAACTTCTGTCCAAGCTCTCCAAAATAAATGCTGCATGCATTTTGTCTTAGGATAAGTGAAATTTTCTCTACGGTTTGGGGAAAAAGTCCCATAGTTCTCATAAAATGTTGCTATCGATGTGGACCAAGTGGTATAGTTTATAGGCAGATTTAATGAATAGACAGATACCTTATTTATGAACGTACATTTAATGATCGTAAAACATCTCATAATTAGAAACTTTTTGAAAGTTAGTGATACTATTTGAAAAAAGCGCAATTTTTTACCAAATGAGTACAAGAAAAAATGTGTGCATTTTTCAATATAATATATTTGCCTTTATAAAGGCCTTGAAAATAAATGAAGAAACTGCGTACTACCTTTTTGCGGAATATACTTTTTGTAGGCGGTTAAAAAGAAACTTCTTCATTAGTCGGCATCCTGACATGACTAACATCTATTGAGATTAGGTAGCATGGCAATCAGTATTACAACTATAATTAATATGTTAGAATCGAAAACACATTTCAGAATTTCGGTTGAGATCTCATGAGTTGTGGAATCTACTGTAGGTCTGCTGAAGAGCTTCCTTTGGAGCCTCTTACCATCTAGTGTGAACAAATAAAGATTGCTGCCTCCATTCTACTCCAGCGCTTTTATGCATGATCTTAGACTGCGCCCGTTGCTTTCTAGTTTGCCATTTTTCGCCTGCACTGCATTTGCTTCCAGTTACCATGAGATGCTTTTTCGCCCAAATTAAAAATTAAAATTGTTACTCCCTCCTTCCCATCCTTGCGCTTTCGTGCTAAAAGAACTCAAACGCTATGTGGAAGCGAACACGGACAAAGTGGACCCCGAATTTCTCTCTCATCTGCCCTCCAGGGTGAAGAAATTAAGACATGAGGAAGAACTGGCCGCGCTGTCTGAGACCGAACGTCAGAACGAACTGAAAGCCCGTGAGCGCCAGCTAGCTGAGATTAGCGCTCTAATGCATCAGCGGCCGGACCAATTTGGCGAGGTGTCTCTGGCCGACCTCAGCCATCAGATGACCTCCCTGTATGCTGGGTTCTGACTCGCCTGCTCGGCATTTAATTGGAGTGTATGTGCTCGTACTAACCGTCACCTCCCCGCTTGTGCGATAGTCATCTGTTATGTCTGTCGGCTCTTGCCTTTCCACGATCACAAACACACACGTACACCTCGTCTGTTCTGCCATTCTTTTATTTTCACCGATCAGATCACTGCCTTTGGTTGATCAGCGTAGAATCGCCCCCTCCCCTCCCCTCCTCACCGCACTTGTGTTTTGTAAACCCTGTTACTTCATTCGAACACTCATGTGGACGAAAAAGGTCATTTTAATCTGCTTTTATGCGATCCTAGTCCTTTGCCCCCTTCTACGTAATCATTTTATACCTATTATTACGTTTACTGTGTCCAAATCGTGCTGTGCTGTCTCAATAGTGAAGAGACTTTAAAAAAAGATACAACTACAATTTGCTTGAAGGGGTGGGCATTGAGAGCCTGTAAAGTACTGTGCTTTTCATTTTCAAACGAATGATTTTGTAACATACGAGTACCCCTTGGGATACGATGGTGGATAAATTAAAGGTTTCCGTATAAGAGGAAAGGGGAGGCAGATGGGCGAGTTTCACCTAGGTGCTATACACTGGTCGGTGAATATATTTTCAGCCAGCGCTCTTACTAAGCTAGGAGACTTCAAAGTAGGGCAGTATGCCGATTCTTCGGGTTTGTTGGCACCGTGGTCCTACGCAAGCAATCGTGACATGCATCTGTTACATTTCAATTTTTGGTTAACCGCATGGTTTCGAGGAGTGAAACATGACAGTTCGACCACCGTTATCGGAGATGTCCAACTTACGTTACCCACCGGAGGTTGGGCGTGGAGCCAGATGACTTGTGCTGCATCTACCGTACTCTAATTGGCCCAGTGTCATAACAAAGTCAACAAGTCTTTTCTGCGACTCCTGACGAGTGCGAACCCGATCCGCTAGGTAGATAAACTCCTTGTTCCAGCGATCGGTGCATGTGTCTGATATGGCGTGAACCGGCGCCTAGGCGTGCTGCTATCACACCCCT